TAAGATAATCATTGAGTTCTAACAGAATACTTAATTATTATCTTTATAAAATGTTATATTATTAAACCAAAAATAAATTATTTTGTTATTAAACTTAAATTAAATTATAATAAAAAAATAAATTAAAGAAATTACATAAAAAATGAAAACTTTTAAATAGTTGATTTGACATTAACATTGATATATATCAAACTGCAACGGCGACCGACGATAGGAACGGTGCAACAGCAGCGACCAACGATGGAACGGTGGGGTATGGCGTCGAGCGGCGACATGGGCGGTGCGGTGGCGACAGGGTTGATGCGGCGACGATGGGGGTGGTGCAGCAGGGACCCGCGATGGGACGGTGGTGGAGGCGCGTTAAGCATCGAGAGGGAGACGGTGGTGTGGTCGCATGAGGGAGACGAGAGGGAGACGATGGTGTGGTCTCATGAGGGAGACGGTGGTGTGGAGATGAGCAGACATCTTATTTTAGGGTTTTGTTTAGGGTTTTTTAAATTTTTTTATTAATTTGAGATTTACCTATTATTTAGGTTACAAGTTATATTTTCAAAATATGATGATCTATTTAACAAGTTTTAAAAAGTCTAAGGAGTTATTTAATAAATTCTAAAATGTCCAAATATTTATTTGTTCCAAAAAATTATCCAATGACTTAATTGTTCCAAGAGTAAAGTCCATTGAGTTTTTTTAGACTTTTCTCTACCAATAACAATTATTATAGATCTCATTTTCCGACCCGAACTCATTATTGGGCCGGCCTGACACGAACATTTGTTAAAAAGACATGGGCCGATGGTCTATTTGTTTAAGTTATTAGCCCAATATCTAAGGGCAAATCAGTAATTTTATACACAAACTAGGGTTTCACAAAAGGACTCGCTCATTAAGATCCATTTCTTCGGTCTCTCGTGAAAGCCGTAACCACTCCGCCGAGCAGCAGCCGCCGTCGCAGACGAATAGGTGCGATTACTTGAAATTTGCTTTCGATTAATCGTTGTTTTGGATTCGAAATTTGTTATGTTATTATGTAGCATGAGTTAGTTGTTTGTTGTATATCGTAACAGAGTTGATTGATTTTTATCAACAGTTTGTGAAAGAGGAGATGGCGAAGTCGAAGAATCACACGGCTCACAACCAGTCGCACAAGGCTCATAGGAACGGCATTAAGAAGCCGAGGAAGCATCGCCACACTTCCACCAAAGGGGTCAGTTACTGTTCTCTTTTATCAGAATTGATATGTGAATTAGGTTTATATGCGTGCCGTAGAATTTTGCGTCTTTACACTTCAGAATAGTAGTTACAGTTTTTGTTTAACCACTTTTGCAGTAGATATGAATAAATCAACAAAATGATCCATTATTGAATATTGAAAATATTTGGACAATATTGCAATATCATATTTAAATTGTTATTAATACTTGAGACCTGGGGAGCTTCTGCATTTTTTACATCTCTATCTGATCTTTGTACTTTAGATTTCATCTTGATCTGTTTGTAATTTGATTGCGTTTTTGCTGTCTAATTGTCCAAGTGCTCTAAACATGTCATTTTTGTATATAAACAGCGGATTTATGGGTATTAATTTCTTTCAAAGAGAAATACGAGTCAAAATGTTGATGATTCCTGCATTATTGTTTTTTTTTGCTCGATTTAGGTTTGAATTGTGGGATTTTTGCTTTCTTTGCTTGTCTTCTAATCTTTACACTGATTTTAGCCAGAATTATATGTATAATATGATTTTTTTTGATTTCTTAATACATTCTTGTGCTCTAAACATGTCATTTTTCTACATTGTTCCCTGAAAATATGCAAGAGCAACCCTCTTAAAAATAATATTTAATCGCAAATTCATAACCATCATCAAAATTTTGAAAAATGTTGCTTTCAACATCATTGTTTTGTGGTTAAGAATGGAGGGATTTGTGTGTGACAACATGATATTAAACGCAGATGGATCCCAAGTTTTCGAGGAACCAGAGGTATGCAAGGAAGCACAATAAGCAGAGTGGTGAATCTGCTTCTGAAGAATAGATGGGTTTGTTGTTTTTCTTAATTGGATTTTGTTCTTCATCAGGAATGCTATAACATTTTGTTTCTGTACTTTTGATTATATATGGTCAGATGAGATTACATGTTTAGAAGATGATAAATCTTCTATTTGATTTGGAAAACATTCTGTGTGTTTGTTTGGTCATATTTGTTTTCAAATACTTAATTTGGCTTAGGGTTGGTTGGTTGGGTTTTCCACTAAGTTCTGTGTGGATTAATCTATCTGTATAGATTGGGAAAAGTTTTTGTTTGGACTTGCACGATTACATATCTGGTACGATTAACCCCATCATTACAGGTTATGATACGAAATCGATTTTGGTTAATAACCTCAAACTGTTGCCAAGGACTAATTATATTTACCCATCTCTCCTGTAGCGTGTGTAAGATCATCTAAAGTGAATCGCTTTCTTTAAAGATGGATTAAACCTCAAATATTGTTTGCAACTTAATGTGAAATTGGGGTGCTTTGAGAGTTATGCTCAAGGGATGTGTTTGAAATTTCATTGTATTGCAAGCCAGGTCTTGGGTTAACAAGACAATTTTCTTGTTGAATTCGGTTTGGGAGTTCTATTTTTCAAACCATGGTTCTTTTGATATTTGTTCTTTGATCCACTATGGTTCGTTTTGGAGTTCTATTGCATATGTATGATGTATTGGTATGAAAGCCCCAAGGAAATCTAGTCTAAATTTGCCTCAAATCAAATAGATGATGAAATTCTTGATTTAATTACAACTATTTTACTTTTGCAAATATTTGGACAATTGAAGTTACATTGAGGTCAAAGCTCCGAGCAGGTGTTCCCCTTGTCGGCTTATTTTTATGGGTAAACTTTTCTGGAAATATGAAATGTTGCACCACTAAACTTTGAAAGGTAGTATTCAAACATTAAGGGGTTGTTTACTTGCATTTTAATTAGATTTATTGGTTTATTTGGCTTTTTCACACAGCTCATTTGGATTGTTTACTAACGGCTTAGTCGTATAGAACATGATTTAATCACACAGATAGAAATAATGTGTTATTCTCATTTAGCCACAAAAATGACATCTCTACCCTTTATTTAAAGCATCACCTCCTTCCCATATGAGACACCTCATCATCGGTCTCTTTTTATGATTTTTTTGTTTTGATGTTCAAATAAATGATATTGGGGGGGGGGGGGGTTTAAATCGGTCATTTATGTTATTCAGACTGTTGGTTCAGATAAAAAAACTAAACAAAATACTCATTTAACCAGACAAACAAATTTATTCATACAAGACTTAATAAAAAATTTGATAAACAACCCCCTAAAAAAAATTACAAAAATATTTTATAAACTTTTTTCGGTTGCTTCTATACGAAAAATCAATCGAAAGAAAATCTCGATCAAACCAAGCTTGAAATAATTTGAACATCAACGGTGGTGAAAACCTCTAGGAAGAGTTGTCATACTTTTTCTACCATATTTTCATCTTTAGCAAAATAAAGAATCACAATAAAACTCCACAATAGAGGTGATTATAAAAACCTTATTTTTTATTTTTTTATTTATTAAAAATAATTTTATTTATAGTTTAATATATATATAGATATTATAAAATTATAACAAAAACTGAAATTTTCTTTTATTAGTTTCCTCTTTTCTATTTTAATTATGATCTAAACTTATTAATATTAATTTAATACCACATAAAAAATAATCTAACATAATAATATAATGAAATAATAAAAAAATTAAACTTATTAATATAAAAAACTTGTTTAAAAATTTACAAAAAGAGAAAACTAAAACAAGATTTAAAAATTATTTTATAATAATTAATTGAGATTTTTTTATCAGTTTTAACTTATATACCTTTTATAAGTTTATTATAAAATAAAATAATTAAAAAATAATAAAATAATAAAATAATAGTAAAAATATTATACGAGTTCTTAAATTCTAATAAAAATAACCATAAGGGTAGTACTTGATTGGTTTGAGTTTGACTTCAAATGTTAAAATTACCAAAAGGTTCTAAGTTCAAATTCAAGGAGAAATAAAAATCTCTTATGTCTATGAAAGTTCAAATGCGATGACTTCAGGCTATCTACAAAACAGTTGATCGTCCTACGATTAATCGTCTCGTATAATAAGTCGAATATCCAGTTTAATTAAAAAAAATTCTAATAAAAACTTATAACTTCCATTTTATAATAAAGACTTTGTAAAACCTCAATGAAATCCTAAATAGGAACCTCCATAGTCCATAGATGCTCTTATAATTTAATTTACACTTAGTTTAAAATTGTTATAAAATAGTCATCTCATATCTTTTATTTACCTTCTTGCCCCCATCTATCACCGGTTGGCGGTTACTACGTATTGCCACGTGTGAGTAGGATCTGCTTTAACGCCAACATCATCGGCTTCTGGCTTCCTCGCCTATGGACACGTGTGCAATTACAATATCACAGATGTCATCTCCCTCTTTCTTCTCCTTCCTCCTTCTTCCTCTTCGCCATCTTCACGGAAACTGTAGCTCTGTCGACCTTTCTCTCACTCAAAACATACAGAACACGCACTACACACAGTGGTTAAATAATGGGACACAATTTGGAGACACGATCGCTGCTGGATGAATTGAGAAGCTTCGACAAGAATGGAGGTATCTTCGATTTAGGTCATCCTCTTCTCAATCGTATGGCCGAAAGCTTCGTCAAGGCCGCCGGAGTACGTCTTTCTTTCTCGCTCTTACACACATAGATATCTGATTGAGACTATAATTGATTAATTGGATTGATGTATGCAGATTGGAGCAGTTCAGGCAGTTTCACGGGAAGCATATTTCACAGCTTTTGAAGGTTAGTCCGAAATTGTTTGAGATTTATTAAATTTTCAGGAGATTAGAGACCAATTACTTCACATTAGTGTTAGAATCTCGAATCATCGAGTTGTTATTTGATCAATATTAGTATTGTGGTAATTATACAGGTTGATCCCTTTAAATTTTGAAATTGGACATGAATTCATGTCTATATCAAATTTGAGGATTACTTGCTTTGAGTTTGAAAGTAACTTCAAAATAAGATTTGTGTTTCTATTGCTAAAGAGGGTCCTGATGTTGGTTTTTGATTAAATGTCCCTAATTAAACTGGTGCAGGTGGAGATTCGACGGCCATCCCACCAGAAATACCTTCTAGCCGGAAAAAACCCCATCACTTCTCAGAGCTTAGAGGTATTTACATCTCTTACCTACCATTTCTTAAGATTTGGAGTATATCATAAGGCGTTTACCGGATAAATTGTTGCATTAAATACCGTTTCAATGACTAGAATCTTAACAGGTAAGAAAGGTGGGAATGTTACCTCTTACGGTTAAGCGTTTGGGTAAACGGCCTGTAAGATAATGATCATGATGTGTTGCTAATTTCGACTCCTTTTGTGCAGGGGAAACAAACAGAAAATCTGTTGAAGCATTGGTATGTTTGTAGTTGCTACACTTCTTAGAATGATTTAGAAGCACAATTAGTGTTATAAGAGACTTTCCTTTAATCGTGTTCGGTTAGTAATATGTATACCGTTGCAGATGGAGAATTGTAAATTTTGACCAAAAACAAAGTACATATTTTGATTAGCAGTTGCTTCTGGATCCTTTGGCATATACATCTAGAAAGCAAGCTGTAATTTCTTCATTTTATGCATTTAAATGTTTCAGGTCAAAGGCACGGGGAAAGAATCTCTACAATGGGGTAAAAACATGTGTACTTGTTCACGGTGATAGCAAAACTACGGTATCTGAATCATAATCGTTCTATGCTAACGGTTGACGTTTGTTGCCTTAGGTTTGGCTGCGGGGATGTATTCAGGTATTACATATGGATTAAAGGAGGCACGTGGAGTTCATGATTGGGTAATTGCTCAAAAACCGTCATGTCTATATTTCCGTTTTAGATATTTGCCGAAAACTAGTTATTCCCAGAATCAACTCTCTACTCTTTAAGATGGAGGTTAGATCTGCGTACATCTTCCCCCCCCCCGGGGGGTTGGGATTTATTGGGCTTGTTTGCTTTGGGTTTTTTGGTGACTGTAAGTGTCCTGCCCAGCTTGTATTGATCACGTAGGCTTTGAAGATGATATCTAGGAAAATCCCCGGGGCTAGCCTTTATTTTGCAATGAACGTTTTTGACATTGTAGTCGAAGTCTATACTTGATGAAAGTAATAGGGTGTTGTTTGTGTGTTTGGTGCAGAAAAACAGTGCGGTGGCAGGAGCAATCACGGGTGCGGCTTTAGCGCTCACATTTGATGATTCTTCTCATGAACAAATTGTGCATGGTGCCATTACAGGTGCGGCTTTATCAACGGCTGCTAACCTCCTTACTGGGATATTCTAGATTTAATTCTTCATCTGGACAAGATATTCTCTCGGTCGCAGTATGGAGGCTCACACTGTTACTTTCAAGTTCGAAAGGAGATGTACAACTTTCTGCATAATTTGGTTGAGTTTAAATCTACATGCTTTTTTGCCTTCCGTATATGTTATCTTTCATTACAGAACGCAAAAGATGTTGATCCGACATGTCATCTTTGTGTCTTGGAGACTTGTGGTCATTCTTGTTCTTGTTTTCATTTGGGTGAGAACCTGCTCCCGATCCTTGTTGGTGGGAAGAGCATGTGGTCGATATTTTGAATATTTGATAGTAGTCGAGCTTGGTGGATCCACAATTAATGAGGCGTTACCGATTCATGTTCACCGTGTATCATGTGACTTGAGATGAATCTGATCGCGATAGATATGATATAACTTGTACTCAGGTGAGTGCATGTGTGATCGAGAGCCATGTTATACCTTAACAGGCTGTTGCGACATGAATACTTTATGGTTCAAATTAGACGTTGGTTAGTGGAAAAACAAAATATGGTGATGAAAGGAAAATTTTATTATAAAACCATTTAATTTTATATAATATTTAGAAACTAAATTCTCATTCTAGGTTGAAGGAAATGAAAGCTAGTCTCAACCAAACACCTCTAAAAATGTTAAATGTGAATTATGGCGATGAATCCAAAAAAATTAATGGGATGAAAGTACGTTGGATAGGTCTTGAGGGACACAAGCATATGACCATATGAAATTGGATGGACATCATATAAGACGAAGGTAAAAATAAAAAATTTAAGTTAGTCAACAAACACTTTTGGTCTTTGACTGGGGGCCTTTCCCTCCGGTGCTTAAGGGTTAGATCCGCCCCTAAACCAAAATGATAATTTTGAGAATTCCGGATTCAAATTGCTAAATCCTAAACATCTGGGAGCTAATCGTCAAATTTTAAAAAGTTCGGACTCAAATTGCTAAATCCTAAACATTTGGGAGATAATCGTCAAAATTTAAAAAGTTCGGACTCAAATTGTCAGATTGGGTGAAACCCCAGGATTTGGCTATTGACTTTAAGATGAAAAAAGATCGTTGTCTTCTTTTATATCAGAACGACTAGAATAAGGACTGCGGTATCGATCCTCTCTGCTTCGGCGATCTCAACCTCCGTCATCGAACTCGTTCTACACCACCGTCCCCCTTTTGTCCGTCGGAGACGGCTAAAATATTTTCCGGTAAGTTTCCAGGTTGTCGGTGGATTTCAGCAGAACTCGTTTCTTTCTAAAAATTCATTTAATCATCTGATTTGTCTAGTGTTTTAGGCTAAGATCTTTTGTCAATGTATGAATTTTGTTATTTTTTTTTATAGATTGTTTACTTCACAAAGACATGGGATATTTGGTTGAATCTTTAATATATTTAGTTAAAACGAGGGCTCCTGTTAAATGCACGGATCAAATATTTCTTGCGTTTGTTGTTAGTTAATATCAAAATAAGCACGAATTATACTGATCTACATAATAGTTCGAGTCTATTGTTTTACTAGAAACCTTAGTTACTCGTTTCTTGTATGAAACTGTATACCTACAGAAGAAACTTCAGTATTTACTTTTTTCTGTAATAGCGGAGGAAGTTGCAGAAATTTAGTGCTTTTGAGGCGTTTGATGAAAGTCTTGAGAGAATACAAGTTGACCAACATGGGGAAGTACATTAGTTCGTAGCTATAGTAATACCCTCCCTTTGCCATGAAAGTTGCAACAATTTTCTTTATCGGTAGTTGTCCTAGCGAAAATCACCTGTTGTTTGTTGCCATTGGCATGCCATTCCATTGATGCACCCTGTTGTTTTCATTATTTGAGGATGATGAAGACATGACCAATAGCCACACCCTGTAACACACTATTTGTGGGTGAAATGTTGTAATTTCGTTTGATGACATCAGGGAATACCAAACTTGGCTGTAACTATGAATTTTCTCTGAAGTGATAGACCCCTTGATTTCAGCGGGAAGCTAGGTATTTCAATCAAATGAGTGATGAGTTGGGCCAAGTTAAAAAGAGTAAACTGACGGAAGGTTACTGACTTTTCCTAGTTTTATGGTTCATGGATGCTAAAAGTGTGATTCATGCTATGTCTTGTTAAATCTAGTATTTGATGTCATTGGTTTTGGTGGTTAGTAATTCATTCAACTCCTATATTTAAGTTTGATTTCATCTGGAGTCAGATTTGAGTATTTGGCATAAAGTCGTATAGGCATTGAATACGAATTCTTGATCTTAATGACTCAATACCTTTAGTTGGTTGAGAAAGAAGAAAAAGTCGCCTTGCAAGTGAGCTAGATGACCCATAGGCTATGTCCTGGTGTGACAAACCTTCGCTTGAAAAGACATGGCTTTGCCTCAGCCAACGGGTGGTCTCCAACCCATTCATTTGCTAGGTCTAGTTCTTAATGCAATTTCATCTATGTTCTCCCCGTTTCAGGTTATGATTGATATAAAATATGATGTAATGCAAACATCCTTGTGTGTCCTCGGTGAGATGCCTAGAAACTTTTGTTAGTTTTGCTGTTTCCCCTAATTCCTACGTTCACAGCTCTGTCTGAAGTCTGTCCTACATCGGGGGGAGGTCTTAGGAGCTTCCAGATCACATGAATATTGTTTTAACTTCATTTGTTTGAACTTTTAGTGGATATGCATTTCATGTTCATAAATGGTCATACATATGAGAAACATATAATCAGATAACTTTTCCATTTGTTCTTTATGCATATCTATTATTTTATAAAAAACTTGAGTACTGTCTTTATCCCTCAAAATATGCAACCCTTTTCTTTATGGGATGCAATGACTGTTTGCAACGTCCCCTTTTCTGTTAAGTTTCCAGCTTAACACCCTTTATCTATCATTACAAATAAAATTCATGCTTTTGGTTTGGGGTCAATAGGTATCTTTACTTAATTGTTTATCAAGTGTATATTAGATATTTGGCAAACAGAAAACGGAATCTGTATGGCTGCTCGGGTCAGATATAGGTAAGTGATATACAAAAAGATGTCCTTTTGATGTTGGACAAAATGCATCAAAAGAATGAAGTCTGTATTAGTTCCTATCTAGTGTAACGATGTATTCTTCCTATTTTGTATCCATTTCCTCTTATAAACGTGTTTTGAGCCTACTTGACATCAGCTGATTTTGATGTGCCATTTTTCCACAGAATCAAGAATTAGAATATAACTTCACAACTTGACATCCATGTCCTCATTAGTTACAAGGTCTACCTGTTACCATTCAAATGTGTATGAAATAGAAAGATTGAATGTTTGTTACACTAATTAAGGAAAAAAATAATCTTTACGCTAAATAGGAACTAAGGTAAATGTTATTTCATTTTATTCATTTTGATGTGTCCCAATTATAGTGTAACACATGGACGGACCACAGTGGTGCCAATGGTGGCACATGCCACCGTATTATTTCTCCGTCGAAGAGTAAAAAAATTTAGGTTCGTGAAAGGTGCAACCATATTAATTTGTTGTGTGCCACCATATGTATTTTGAAACTACAATGAGAACAAGTTTTCTTTGGTAGAGTTGGTTTGCAAGGCTTTTATTCCACCCTAGACCCGAGTTCGAATCCTGTTAGTGTAATTTTCTTTGTCAAATGGTGCCACCGTTTGAATTCTTTTCCCTATATTTGTTTCTTATAAGCCAAATGGTGCCACCGTTTGAAAAATTCGGGGTTCCTCCCTGGCGTAACATCAGTGACCATCATGTTTTGATTCTAGTTAAACTAAGGTGTCATGGTCATGGCATAACCTTATACCTTCTCATCTTATGTTTTAAGGTTTATCCTTTAAGGTGTATCTTCTGAGGTTTACTCTTTCATCATCAGTTTATCACCAATTTAAATCTATTTTGTAGTTTTTATGGTCAATTTCATCATCAACGTAAAGGCATAGCAAGTATTATGGGGCATAGTGCTAAGTAATTGCTGTATGGTTACGGTTGTGGTGTAGCGTAGTGTTACGACTGTTGACCATTTTGGCAAATTATCTAATATTTTCATTCAACTTGTCGTCGCAAGACTTAAAGTTTCAAACATATGGATTTCCATCGTATTTGTATGGTATTCTTATTGTGAATGATGTATGTTTTTTTCTGTGTTTAGGGAAGTTGAATTGTAACAGAACCTTGGGATTGGTTCTTTCTTGTGAGCAACAAGGATCATGTCCGAGAAAATGAAGGCTGCAGCCTTGTCAGCTACTAAAGGGCTTAGTCGTGTTCAAGCTGAACGTGCAGCAGCTAATGCAACACGAAATGTAAATGCATACGGGCAGAAGGAAGAAGGACCAAGTAGGTGGCAAGAAAAGAAAGAAGCAAAGACACAAATGTATCTGAAAAGTACCGAAAAACAAGCAACATTGAACGAAAAAAAGTGTCAGAAATGTCGTAAAACTGGGCATTGGACGTACGAGTGTCAGAAGCAGGCACCAGAAACCCCCAAACTGGATATCAGGACACTGATGTCACAGGATTTGAATGGTGTAGACACGAAGAAAGAGGAGAAAGCTGAAAGGAGTTCAAAGAAGGAGAAGAATAGTAAAAGAAAAAACAGGAAAAGGAAGCATAGGTCTAGATCGACTTCAGAGTCATCTGATTCGGAGTCGGACCATGAAGATGGCGGAAGCCGAAGGAAGAAGAAAAAGCATAGCCGAAGGTCTAATAGAGATCGGTAGTTTGAGTAGAAACTTACGTTACTTGGGGCGTCTTTAACTGTACTGCAAGTTTCACATTTTGCCGGAGAGGAAGCTACAACCAACGGGTAAAAGAATGGCAAAATGCTGGAAATGGGAGAGAAACGGGATAATAGTTCTAGAGCAGCTGTAATATCAGGTCTTATATATATTGCGAGTGTACCATTTCCATTATGTGACTCTAATTCATAACATGAAAGTCGAAAGCTCATTACTTTATTTGGTACATCTTATGATTTCTTGGATTTATATTCTCAAGCCTCCGAGATGAACGGTCGTGATTAAATTATCTCGATACATAAATCTTTATGTCTTTAAGCATCTCCAATAGATATATTAAAATTGAGATATTTTGGAGATTTAGTTTTTTTTGTTTCAACAATTATGTCAAAATGTATGTTAAAATAGAGAAAAGAAAAATTTTCGAACTTGGAGATAGAGTAGAGAAATAATATTTTGAGTAAATTGCAATTTTGGTCCTTGTTGTTTGTTGTTTATCTTAAATCGGGTTCCTATAAAAGTTGTATTGCAAAAGAATCCCCGTGGTATGCTAAAAGTTGTATTGCAAAAGGTTCCCTCCAGCTAATACCCCCATGTGACTTACACATGAGGGCATAAAAAGTCTTAAAAACAATTTTTAATACATAAAATACTACATATTTATGAACAAAGTCTTAAAAATAACTTATAATGCATTAGGTATTACTACTTTATGCATTCAGTCTTAAAATCTTTTAATTTACAATTAAAATAACATATAGTACAAGTTATCAGTGCATATTATCACTTTTTTTTTCATGTTCCTAAGATACTTTTGACACATTTCAGTTAGAATCAATGATTATTATAATTATATTTAGATTTTTTCTATATAAAATAAGATATTTATCTTGTATTTTGATTATGTTTATCTGCAGTTAGTTACATAAATTCAAAATAAAACTTTAATAAGTTGTACTTGTACACAATTTATTTGTAATTTTGAACTATAAGTAATATATATCAATAAATAATACTTCATGTATAAAAAATAATTTTTAAAGAGATTTTATCAAATACTTTATAATATATATATATATATATATATATATATATATNATTTTATCAAATACTTTATAATATATATATATATATATATATATATATATATATTATTGGAGTTATTTACTTATTTGGTCCTTATAATTTAGGGTGTTTTACAAAAATTAGAAAAAGACAAAAGAAAAGTAAAAAAAAATTAATGTTAAAAAGGTGAAAATTGTAAAATGACGGAACTGCCCTCAATTCTAAAGGATGTTTTGGTTGGCCATTAGAGTGAGGGGCCAATTCGTTACAAAATAACATACGACAAGTTCTAGTTTGTATATAAATAAAGTTCAGGGATTATTTTCGTAAAAATCACCAAACTACAAGGATTAAATCCGTAATTTACTCTAAAAGAATCTATAGTGAGGGAGGTGTTAACTCCTTTTAAATTGAAAGATTCATTTGGCTCCTGGAAAACGCACGCACCCGCTTCAAAAAGTGCCGCTCCAGAGGTAGAAACATTGAAGTTTGTTGATAGCTGCAACTCTGTGGCTCTGTGCAACGAATATAAGCCAAAATGAGTACCATGAAATTTTGCCGAGAATGGTGATTACAACCTTTTCAAGATTTTCGTCTCTGTGATTATGGTTTTGCCACTTACAAGCATACACGCCAAGTGTTTGTATAAATGCCTGAACGTGTTTTATTTGTTTTGAACTGGAAACAGCAACAACATTCTCTACCCTAAAGAAGATAAAGATCAGAAGATTCTGCTTTATGCTTGCCGCAACTGCGATCACCAGGTGAAATCTCCTCCGCTGCTAATCTCTTGTACATATACAACCACCTGTGCAAACCCTAATGTCAAGAAACTAGTATTTTTGTACCTTCGTACTACTGATAAAGAAAAAGGGGTTTTATAGGAATCTGAAAATTGGTTTCAACGGGTTGAGATTAGCTTTGTAGCTTTTTCTTGTTTTGATGAAGAGATAAACTTGCTTTTACATCAAATGGGTTAGTTTTTAGCATCCAAATTGATTCAAAGTCATTAAATTTAGATTAAGAAATTTTTTTCAAGTACATCAAGTCTATAATAGATGGACAAATGTAAGAGTATTAACATTTGTCAATATCCCTATCTCCTACTTGGCATTTGAAAATTACTTACTTGACCTATGACATTAATGGTTACTTCTTTTCTGGGAAGAGAGTATACAGTACAGAACTACAGATGATTTTCCAATTTTTTTATTTTCGAAGTTTAAGCTACTAGAAGAAACATAATATTGTCTTTGTGGTATGTTTGGTGCTGTCTAAATGCTTGTTTGATTAACTTCTCAAGCACTTCAACTTTCATGTGTATACACCCTCAACCAGACACATGTAGAAAGCAGACAAAGGAAAATGAATTAGTACCGTTTCTAGAATTAATCAAAATGTGGGGAGTTGAGGCTTGAGAGCATGGATCGTGGGAGTTCTGATTTAGAGATTTAGTTAGTTTGGATGGAAATTTGATTAATTTGTTTGGGTTTAGATATTGAGGAAATCTGAAGATGTGGTGGTGTTTATGACTGATTAGGTCTAACTTGATATGAATTAGGTTTTTGCATGAGCTAGAATTCTGGTGGATGGCTATTCAATATAGTTTCTTAAATGTGATGAAGGCTAGTGTAAAACATGATTAATATAGTTTGGTAATATTTGTGCTCAGTATAATTTGAACTGTGAATATGTAACTTGTATCAAATTATATTGGTCGCCTAGTCTAACAACGCTTCCCACATGGATAGAAAAGTAGATTCGTGAGCTCTTTATAAGTTCAAAGTTGTGGGTTACCAATAACTTTCACCATGGTTTTAAGTTGATTTGAAGGTTATTGGGTCAACATGATGCTTTGGACTTCGGGGCGCTACACATAGGCCTAGAAAGTTAAATTTTTATTCTTCGTAGATTTGTTATCTTATTAATAATAGGATTATGTTTTCCCCAGTTTAGTTGTACCTTGTATCAGGTTGGTAAATGCCTTAACTGTTACCTTCCTTACTTCCTATTCCTTTGTACAAGACTGGAGTACTAGCATTCGTCTATGGTTTTTCACTCCATCCATCCCCCGCAAATGCAGTGTTTAACTTGTTGCATTGCTTGCTAAAAGTCAGCGATCAAATACCTAAAATATCCCTTAACAAGATAAAGTTGAGAGAAGTTGTACAATCTTGTCAGTATCACGTAATAATTGATAATAATTTATAAAAAAAAGGGAAAAAAGAAGTGTCTCATCTTTTTGGGGATAGAGGGAGTAGTATTTGTTTTTCTATAAACATCAACTCGAAAAATCTTCTGTCCTAACTCTCAGAATCTGATCTGTTTTGGTTACGAGAGCTCATCCATCTGTTGTTAAGTTGATATAATGAAAAGTATTTGAAGTTATGATGTCTCTGGATTCTTTAATATATTCGAAGTTCTTCACCACACACACAGGAGGCTGCAGATAACAATTGTGTCTATAGAAATGAGATACACCATGCAGTTGGGGAACGAACTCAAGTTTTGCAGGATGTGGCTGCTGATCCAACTCTTCCACGCACAAAAGCAGTTCGGTGTGCTCAATGTGGTCATGGAGAGGCTGTTTTCTTCCAGGTTATTTTTGTTTTGCAAAACTCTCTTTCCTTCAATTGTTTATGTTTTGGGTTTGACTGAGAACCGTTAAAAGCGTTGTATACTGGGAAACGGACGCCATTTGTCTGTTTTAAGGAAACCATGTTCAACACTGATGTTTATTTTGGTTAGTAGCAGTTGTGTAAAGACTAATGTTGTGGGTATGTTGGTCAGGCAACTGCTAGAGGGGAAGAAGGGATGACATTGTTCTTTGTTTGCTGCAACCCCAACTGCGGTCACCGGTGGAGGGATTAAGACCACCCCATCTCATTCTCAGGTACTTTTTATTTTTTAGCTCCATTTTTATTATTTTTTTGCTTTTATTTTGAATAAATAGTTTTTTCCTTGTGTTTTGGAAAAGAAACAGTTTTTTGCTAAAAATGTCCATCCACTTGGCTAATCTACTTTCCGAGACCCTTCTCGAGACACCGATCCATTATAATGTGTTCTTTGTGGTAGAACACAAACCTTGATACAAATTATTGAAGACTTCTCTTGCTTTTGTTAAAGGACAATGTGGATCACTCACTCTAAAGAGAAACACTCGCATGATGTTGGATATGTAACGGTAATCACTCATGTGTAATAAATGCAATACTTGGATGATCAAAGAATGTTTGGAGCTTTGAATGTTTGTCATTTTGCTCAACAACTGGAGTTCTTTTTTTCTTTGGATGCTCGAAGATGTGTGATTAAAGGTTGAGCTATGTGGACGTTTGCATTATGCATCAAGTGGACGTCCGCATCAAGACTTCTAGGAAAAGACACTTTGAAAAATATTGATGTGTCAGATCATATTTCAATGTGGACGTCTAGATGGTTCAACTGGACGTCTGCATTACTCTTTAAAAAGAAACATGTCACTTTTTAAGTTTTCCATATTTTATATTAAAAAGGCTTTGAAATTATTTTATAAAACTCAAATATTTTATTGATATTGTCAAGAGAGTTGCCGATTAAAGAATACGAGGATGATAAGCATTATGGACCTTGCTTGGATTTAAGTCTTCGTTAAAATTTTTGTTGCTTCCTTCTCGAAATATATTTTGATGAAGTTCGTAAGAGGGCACGCTTCCCGACTCCAGTTCCATTTATTATAGATTTGTCACTTACAGATTTACAAAGTCATGCTTTTCAGCCTTAAAACATTTACTTTTTCGAAATTTAAATTGTTAAAATAAAGTTTATGCCATCAAAATTGAGTGATCAGAAAATTATCCAATCTCATCAAAATCCAATTAGTTGAAAATTTGACAAACGATCTGGACTACAACAAATCATCCGGAAAGTTGTGTAATTTAATTTTTTTAAACAAATATAATAAACTCCAAAAATATGCATCCATAAAACAAAAATTGTATGTTGTTTTTTTCAATGCCATCATCGAATATATGGCATCCATCCGTACTTTTAATTAGGGGTGCTCATGGGTTGGGTTGATCGGGTTAAAGACGTTTGAACAACCCAACTCAATGCTTGCTGTTTGAAAAATCATAACCCAACCCAACCGAATGAAAGTGCAACCTAACTCAACCCAAACCGTATGGGTTGGTCAGGTTGATACTTTGATATATTAAAATATTCTTCTAACCTTGAATATTTTATTTTTCTCTACTCGTAATTTTTTTTCCATCATCAATCATTTGATACAATTTATCAATATTTCTTACGTACATCACATTTAGTTAATTTTCTCAATTTACGTATATATGTTCACAGTTACTGAACATATATACGAATGAGTTATATAGAGATTTGAATATATTGAAAAGATGTGTATATGAATAGCGTACGTGATAGTGTAATTGTCTAGTGTAAATATTAATAGGAAATTCAACAATCATATTAAATTCAAGAAATAAATGGATATCGGGTTCATCAGATTGGGTTGGGTTCAAATAATAGTAACTTAATATCAACCTAATACATACGGTTTGAAATTTTTACAACTCGATTAGATATCAGGTTGCTTCAGGTTAAATTATTTCATGTTGAATTAGGTTGGGTTGGTCGAGTTTTTGAACACCCCTATTTCTAACACCAAATTTAAATGGGGTTTTTTATTTTAATATTTAGATTTGGATTATCATTTATCACCGCCAATAAATTAAAATTAGGATTTTTATTTTAAATTAATAACTCCAACATTATCATCCTATCAAGCTTATTAAATGAAAATTAAACATGACAAAATGACTTTTTATCATTCTTAAGGTATGATTTATAACGACAAACGTCAAAACTGTATAAGGACGTGTCATAGACTTTAACACGGCTTTAGACACAAGTTTTTAGCCACTATGGTTGTTGCGACCATTGTGTCTGTAATGCAAATAGAACAATATGTGAACACAAGTCAATGTCGCAAATCTTTTTTTCCCTTGATTATCATGTGTAATAATCTCCCGTAATGTTTGTATTTACAAAATTAACATTACAAAATCTTTTGGTTGTTCAAAAAATGAAAAACTATCCAACAACATTATATTTTGCTAGATTTTGTAGATATTTAGGAAATAAACGTACTGTTTTTTCAAATAGAAGAAGTACAACAATCAAATTTCTTAAAAAACAATTAAATTAACTGAATAGTTTCACCATAAATAGAGAAAATAATAATTCTAGCATGTTGGTCCTATTATGTAACTAATGGGCCGTTTACCTAAACACTTACCTGGTAAGTACTTACCAACATTATCGCTTACTTATTGGATAATATTTTAATCACTAAAACGCATCGTATGCAACAATTTATCCCGGTAAGCGTTAACCATGATAAGAGTCTTCGTCTTCACTTATTAGGTAAGACTCTCAATTATTGCCTTCACTCTTACCGAGCATGATTCTTAATCCTTGCCATATTAATTCGCTAAAGTAAAGTGACTTGTTAAGCGCTTACCCGGATAAGCGTTTGATGAACGGCACCTAAGTATTGACTTAGGGTTTTGATTTTGGTCCCAGTTAAAATGAAATTATTAATTCAAAAGATATTGAATCCAAATCTTGTGATAGAACCTTACCAAAAGGATTTTGATTTTGGTCCAAGTTTACATTGGATGCTTTGTCAAAGAATATAGAACACATGTTATATGGGTGTTTTCTCTTTTATTTTGCCAACATAAGCAAGTCACCTATTATTCTTCTCTTCCTTTCTTATTCAATCCTCTTTTTTTTAACTTATAAATATTATAATGTCTGGTTTGATTTAATAATTAAAACATCTTATTAACTACAGTCAGTTATTCAAAACACAGGTTTTGAGTCGGTTATGATTTATATGACATATATGATTCTTGGCGAACTTTCGAAGCAAAGTCCCTTGAATTTGGAGTAATCAGCTTTTGCTAACCAGGTTTGTTCCTATTCAGTATCAATTATAATCTTCAAATGCATTTGTGTAAATTATAACTTGTTTTTTTTTTGTTTTTTTACTATTATGAAAATATCTTTAAAGATGGAGTTAGATCTTCATGGATCACAAATTCGAGCTTCAAAGGCGATCGCATTAGAAGAACATGCGAGCCTTGTTTCATCCATCAACAAGAACATGTCAAAAGCATGTGATTTTGTTCGTATATGTAAAGTTTCAGAGGAGTTCTATATGGAGAATGAGGATAAATATTTTCCTACAATGGTCTCTATTGGCCCGTTTCATCGTGGCAAAGAGAAATTAAAAGCCATGGAGGAGCGAAAATGGCAGTATCTCAACACGCTTCTGTCACGTGCACTGAATGTGGAAGCACGCTTAGGGAAGTGTGTTGAGGTATTGAAAGGATTAGAAGATAGAGCTCGGAAATGCTATTTGGAAGAAATTTGTATGAAGAGTGATGAGTTTGTGGAAATGATGTTGCTTGATGGTTGTTTCATTATCGAGCTTTTCCACAAGTCGTGTTGTAAAGAAATTAGACGAAGAGGGGATCCATTTCTAGCAACATACCATGTGTTTTTTCGATTGAGACATGATTTGATTTTGCTTGAAAATCAAATCCCCTTTTTTGTTCTTCAACATCTATTCGACCTTGTGCCTGTACCTAAACAGTGTGGTGACTACTCATTGATTGAACTCGCCTTTCGTTTTTTCAGAAAAACAATTCATGAGGACCCATACGATCTTCAAGAGAAATTTGGCCAAGATATCCACCATCTACTTGACCTAATCCATCAATCTTTCATACCCAAACCACACAATCTCCGACTACAGTCAAAACAACCACAATCACAAATGAATATCTCAACTGCAACTGAGCTTCATAAAAATGAAACCAAGATCAAGCGAGGCAAATCTGGAAGCGTCTTGGAGGTAAAATTCTACAAGGGCGCATTGAGAATTCCGACTTTGACACATCATGATCTGATGGAAACCATCTTTAGAAATTTCATTGCAATGGAGAACTCTTGTTATGATGCAACAAAGTACATAACGTCCTATGCATTTCTCATGAAGAGCTTAATCCACACAAATGAAGACGCCAAATTTCTCCACAAGAAGGGAATTCTTGACAAAGATGAAGAATTTGTTACATTATTCAACAAAATATCAGTCGAAGTAGACGCACATAATTTCTACTATGGGGGTTTATGCGAAATAATCAACACTTCTGCAAAAGTTAGCAAAATTGTTTGGTTTGCAAGAAAAGTCAGAAAGCGTGTCATTCGATGCCTACGCCAGCTATGATTGTATTAAATAAAATTTGTTATAAATAAATAGTAAGATTTTAGGTCATCAATACAATGGTAATGTTGATCATATCGATTTACAATAATTTCGATTGTATTTTCGATCTTTCAACTTATTATATGATTGTTATTAAATTTCAAGTCCCACAAAGTTGTCAATTTTTTTTTTTGTTTATTTGTATTTTGTACGTGGGTTTATTTGATTTTAAGGGTAAAATTGTAGTAATTTTTAGTTTGAACGATTCCCTAAAATTCGTGATTTCTGTATAGTTTTAAGATATTTATACATTTGTCTATCGTCAACACCATAGAGTAGAGATGGCCAAAATCCGGTCCCAGACCGGTCCTTACCGGTCTTAATCAAGACAAAAACCGGCGGTAATCGGTCCTGGTCCCGGTTCCGGTGAAATACCTTGTAACCGGTCAAGCTTACCGGTAACCGGTTAAGGAATCCCGTCCCGGCCAAAAAAAAAAATATTTTTTTTCAAATTTTTGTTTATTAATAAATTTTTAATATGTTATTTTTAATATGTTTTATATAAATACGTTTTATTATAAATACGTTTAAAAATATGTTTTGTTATATATATATATATATATATATATATATA